TCATCACTACTTATATCACCATCCATCATCACCATATAACACAATTCATCATCACTACATATAACACCTAACATCACTACATATAAACACCATCCATCACCACCACATATAACACCATCCATCATCACTACATATAACACCACCATCCATCATCACATATAACACCATCCATCATCACTACATATAACAACATCCATCATCACTACTTATATCACCATCCATCATCACTACATATACCACCATTCATCATCATCAATAATTAAGCATATATACTCCATCATCACCACATATAACACCATCCATCACCACTACATATAACACCATCCATCATCACTAATTATAACACCATCCACATATAACACCATACTCATCACCACATATAACACCACCATCCATCATCACTACATATAACACCATCCATCATCACTACATACAACACCATCCATCATCACTACATATAACACCATCCATCATCACTACATATAACACCATCCATCATCACTACATATAACACCATCCATCATCACTACATATAACACCATCCACTCACTACCACATAACACCATCCATCATCACTAATTATAACACCATCCATATACATACCATCATCACTACATGTAACACCATCCATCATCACTACATATAACACCATCCATCATCACTCTACATATAACACCATTCATCATCACTATACTTAATACCATTCATCATCACTACATATAACACCATCCATCATCACTACATATAACACCATTCATCATCACTACATATAACACCATTCATCATTACTATTCTTAACACCATCCATCATCACTATTCTTAACACCATCCATCATCACTACATATACCACCATCCATCATCACTACATGTAACATCATCCATCATCACTACATATAACACCATCCATCATCACTACATATAACACCATCCATCATCACTACATATAACACTACCCATCATCATTACATATAACACCATCCATCATCACTACATATAACACTCTATCATCACTACATATACAACCATCCATCATCACTACATATAACACCATCCATCATCACGACATAACACCATCCATCATCACGACATATAACACATCCATCATCACTACATATACATCCATCACATCATATGTATAACACCATCCATCATCTGCTATATACCGCCTCCATCATCTGCTACATACATCCATCATCACTACATATAACACCATCCAATCATCACTACATATAACACCATCCATCATCACTACATATAACGCCATCAATCATCACTACATATAACACCATCCATCATCACTACATATAACACCATCCATCATCACTACATATAACACCATCAATCATCACTACATATAACATCATCCATCATCACTACATATAACACCATCCATCATCACTACATATAACACCATCCATCATCACTACATATAACACCGTCCATCATCACTACATATAACATCATCCATCGTCACTACATATAACACCATCCATCATCAGTACATATAACACCATCCATCATCACTACATATAACACCATCCATCATCACTACATACAACACCATCCATCATCACTATACTTAACACCATTCATCATCACTACATATAACACCATCCATCATCACTACATCTAACTCCATTCATCATCACTATATAACACCATACCATCATCACTACATATAACACCATCCATCATCACTATATATATATATATTATATATATATATATATATATATACACATATATATATATATATATATATATATATATATATATATATCACCATCCATCATCACTACATATAACACCATCCATCATCACTACATATAACTCCATTCATCACTATACTTAACACCATTCATCATCACTACATATAACACCATCCATCATCACTACATATAACTCCATTCATCACTATACTTAACACCATTCATCATCACTACATATAACACCATCCATCATCACTATACTGTCACCATCTGTCATCACTATAGTAATAAACTGAACTTGATTTCTTACCTAATATAAAAATTCCAACCTCGTTAATTACTGTATATTTTTGAATGGTCAAATTTTGAATTGGCCTCAGTGAGGGTGCTGTAAGTCTGGGTCAGTATTAATGTTATGACTTCTCATAAAGTACAAAAGATACCACAGTCTGAGGTATCTTTTGTACTTTATGGGGCCCTGGACCACAGGCCACCATTATGATATTATATAATACAAATAGGACTTGAATCTTGTTATTGTTAAGACCCAACTCCTCTCTTTTAGCTTTGCAGCCGTGCACCTCTCTCGTAGCGTTGTGGCCGCACACCTCTCTCGTAGCAGAGCAGCTGCGCACCTCTCTCGTAGCGTTGCGACCGCGCACCTCTCTCGTAGTGGAGCGGCCGCGCACCTCTCTCGTAGTGGAGCGGCCGTGCACCTCTCTCGTAGTGGAGCGGCCGCGTAACTCTCGTAGCGTTGCGACCGCGCACCTCTCTCGTAGTGGAGCGGCCGCGCACCTCTCTCGTAGTGGAGCGGCCGCGTAACTCTCGTAGCGTTGCGACCGCGCACCTCTCTCGTAGCGTTGCGACCGCGCACCTCTCTCGTAGTGGAGCGGCCGCGTAACTCTCGTAGCGTTGCGACCGCGCACCTCTCTTGTAGTGGAGCGGCCGCGTAACTCTCGTAGCGTTGCGACCGCGCACCTCTCTCGTAGTGGAGCGGCCGCCTACCTCTCTCGTAGAGGAGCGGCCGCGCACCTCTCTCGTAGTGGAGCGGCCGCCTACCTCTCTCGTAGTGGAGCGGCCGCGCACCTCTCTCGTTGAGGAGCGGCCGCGCACCTCTCTCGTTGAGGAGCGGCCGCGCACCTCTCTCGTAGTGGAGTGGCCGCACACCTCCCTTGTTGAACCTCTCTCGTAGTGGAGCGGCCGCGCACCTCTCTCGTAGTGGAGCGGCCGTGCACCTCTCGTTGAGGAGCGGCCGCACACCTCTCGTTGAGGAGCGGCCGCACACCTCTCTCGTAGTGGAGCGGCCGAGCACCTCTCTCCACCTCTCTCGCAGTGGAGCGGCTGTGCACCTCTCTTATAGTGGAGATACAATGCACCTCTCTCGTAGTGGAGCGGCTGCGCACCTCTCTTATAGTGGAGATACAATGCACCTCTCTCGTAGTGGAGCGGCTGTGCACCTCTCTTATAGTGGAGATACAATGCACCTCTCTCGTTGAGGAGCGGCCGCGCACCTCTCTCGTAGTGGAGTGGCCGCACACCTCCCTTGTTGAACCTCTCTCGTAGTGGAGCGGCCGCGCACCTCTCTCGTAGTGGAGCGGCCGTGCATCTCTCGTTGAGGAGCGGCCGCACACCTCTCGTTGAGGAGCGGCCGCACACCTCTCTCGTAGTGGAGCGGCCGAGCACCTCTCTCCACCTCTCTCGCAGTGGAGCGGCTGCGCACCTCTCTTATAGTGGAGATACAATGCACCTCTCTCGTAGTGGAGCGGCTGCGCTCCTCTCGTAGTGGAGCGGTTGCACACCTCTCATAGTGGAGCGGCTGCACACCTCTCTCGTAGCGTTGTGGCTGCGCAACTCTCTTGTAGCGTTGCAGCCGTGCACATTGCATGGCTCTGCGAGGTCAACTTTTTCTTAGTTTTCACATTACGTCACATAGTCCCATAATGCAACGCGTCTATATCTACAAGATGGTGGATTCCACAAAGGATTATGGGAGTTGTGACATCATTACAAGCTAGGAGTTGTGTATCACCACAGTACTACCAGGGTGAGTGTGCGTTGGTTATGATTAGTCTTTTTTTGTGATTATCCCATAAGAGCACAATTACTAAAATTAAAATAATAAATATTAAATAAAATATAATAATAATAATTAATAATAATAATAACAATAATAATAAAAAAATAAAAAAAAATAAAAAAAAATATTAAATGAAAATATAACAATAATAATAATAATAATAATAATACAGTATAATATTGATTATGAAAATGTTAATATAAATAATAATATTAATAAAAAAAATGGTCTATAAATACTTACAAATAAAAACAAACAAACAAACAGGTAAATAGTGAGAAACGATATATTTATATTGTGTTGTCAAAGAGAAATAATTGAAACCCTGTAATAGACGAGTTGTTGGTCAGAATTTTTTCGTAGGATGGCAGGTCAATGGGTTAAGAAAACGCTTAAATTCGCTATGGTAATGATATTTTCAAATGATTTGAGCCAAAAGTGTAAAAAAAATAAGGGTTAAATAAGGGTTAAAGTCGCTAAAAATTCTCGTGACTTCGAAAAGCTCTGTGATTGGTTGTGACGTCACAGGTTGGATCGAGCCGCCTAGCGGGAGCGTGGAGGCAGCCAGCTGTGGTGTATGTGTTGTTACCAGCAGAAATACAGGACATGTGGCCATATACAATGTTGATATACACAGGCATACCTTATTTTTACATTTGAATAAAATAATGCTCAAGTATCATCGTGTGTATTTACTTGCTGGGTGCCAAAATGATGCAAAAGACCGATAACTCCAACATGGAAGTTTACATCAATGTTCTCTATTTCATGTCTGGAAAATGTAAGTTTTCGTCACTGATGTCTATATTTAATGTTGTGGAAGGACTAAGGACGACCATGGCCAGGGGTAGGGTCTGAGATGATTAGATGACAGATGTAATTTAACGTGCTTCATAGCTGGATGGCGGAGTTCTTGATAATACTGTGCAATCATAAAGACATCTACTTTTGG